ACATCCTTGCTTTAAATAAAAAGTAATCTCAACTCTTGCTAGGAACACATGGATGAAATATGTACTTCCCAGCTCTTGACTGCTGTAAAACGTATGGTCCTAACCCTTACTCAACAAAATGATGAAAGCAAAGAATTTGTCAAGATATTTCATAAGCAACTTGGTAGCATTTTGCAGGTGAGTATACAATTTGTGAGCTCCTTAAATCTTAGAGATTATTTTCACAATCACTATGGTGCTGGTAAAGTTTTGGAAAGATTATTTTACCTTGACTCTTTGATATGAATACTTCTACCATTGGTGGCAGCTGGTTTTAGCACTTCAGTACATCTGTCTGCATAGAGCCTAAGCTACTGAATCAAAGCTGAGCACTTTATAATCTCTTTATTAACCTTGAAAAATTAATATGGAAAAAGAGCTTGAATAATCTAGCAGTTCAAGTAAAATTATGGAAAGTGCAGCCTGTAGCATTTATCTGATTTGTGAATGTTGAGACTTAAAAGCTGCTCATCTTTACAGTGTGATAAAACAAATATTTTAATTAAACTTGCTTTGAATGTGTCATTTGAAATGTTACTTCAGTGGTTACAAATGAGAATTATCCAAGTTCTCTTTGTATTGTTTTATGTTGATTCAAAGAGAAAGGACTGTAAGAAGGGTTGTGATGCAGCTCTTATTTCTTTTAATAGAGGGATATTTATGCCTTCTATTTTTGCTGGAGAAGTTGGCATACTAAGCTGATTTCTTAATCAAACAAGGAATATACAAACAATCAGAATATGTCTGAAAAAGGAGTATCTTGTCACAGGAGATATATGGGGGAGAACTTAATCCAAAGTGTTATGCTTTAGAATCTTAGAACTGCTAAATGCCTTAGAGCCTTGCTTACCCACAAACACATTCAATGATCTTAGCCAAGCCTTTCAGCTAATATGGTAATTTATGAAGGTGAAATTGAATTATGCTGTATCAGTCACCCTGAATATAATCAGGAGAAGGAAAATGATGATAGTTAAATGTATTAGATATATTAAACCTTTTTTCTTTCTTTTGACAGGATTCACTGGCAAAATTTGCTGGTAAAAAATTAAAGGATTGTGGGGAGGACCTTCTTGTTGAGATTTCTGAAGTCTTATTCAATGAATTGGCCTTTTTTAAACTCATGCAAGACTTGGACAACAACAGCTTAACAGTAAAGCAAAAGTGTAAACCAAAAATAGAAGTAGGTGGAATGGCATAATCTTATACTAAAGAGGTTAATATAAAATTTTGTTACATGTAATGTAAATATATTGTTAATATATTTCAGATTCTGTTAAATTTAAATTTTAAGTTGACTAGTTTACTATGCATTCTCTTCCTGTCAATATTCTTCATCAGGTCAGGTGAGACTCAGTTCTGAGGAATTCAACTTTCCCCATTTATTGGTCTCTAAGCATTTTCATTGGTAGCTCCCATCGTCTCCAAACACTGGACATACTGGTTGGGATTGATGGGAATTTTAATCAAAATTTATGAAGGGCACCAATTTGAGCATTTCTAATTAGCTTAGAAAGTAACTCAGCTTCAAAATTAAACCACGCTTCATATTCTCCTTAATAAAGGATATTTTTGGTTCTTTAAACAATAATCAGAAGAAAGATATACATGCTTTGGAAATAAATGTTCATGAATTAGAGGAAGGTCGTATATTTTTCTTTATTTCCTTTGTCACTAGTAAAGACTGCAGATGTCATAGGGAGTGCTTGTGGTAAAGATATGTCTTATGACAAGCAGGACTACTTTATTGTTTGAAGACTTTTAAAACTATATGCAGGAATTTTTTTCTTGTAATATCGAACAGAGCATCAGAGTCCTACCATGAAGGTTTCTTTTAGCTTGTTATAATAGGACCACATCCTATTATTTATGACTGAGTTCTTTGTATTTTAAATTTAAATTCTTCAGTCTGTTAAAATATTACTTAGAGAATAGAACAGAAGACTATAATGTTTCTTTGTTCCTTATTGTTCTTTACTTAGTTATTGCTAATTGAGGTTTCAGTCTGCTTTTAGTTTGGACACAAGACAAAAATAAGACAATGAGCTTGAAAATACTAGCATTATGACAGGATCTAGATCATTTGACCTTTATATGTTTAAGTAGTAAAGGGACTTAACCATTCATTGTGTATCTCTGACATACCAAAGCAGCAGGAGCCTGCATAGAAAGTGTCAAGCCAATCTAACAGCCAGTTCTGATAGGGCAAGCTGCAAAAAAATATTTAGCTAAACAATATCCTAATACATTTACTAGTACCAGCTGAAAATCACAGCAGAATGGATTTCATAATTTTTCTCAGGCTCAGAATTCATTTATATCTCTCATACAATCTCCATCTTATCTGATTACTGATACTTAGTTTGAACAGAAGCCAATATTCTTTCAAATGTCTGTTTATTAGGTAAAAAAATCACTCGAAGGAGCAGTATGTTCATCTACTGAAGATATTGATGAAGACAAAGTAAGGTTTTCTTTAAAACAATGTGAGGAATATGGCCTGTATTTCTTTTTTTTAGCAGGCTTTGTAGTTAAAAGAGTTTTCTCTCTTCTGATGAATACTGTATTAATTTTTAAAGCTAGGTGAAATTGTTTATTTTTATCTCAAATTATATGTATGTATGTATGTATATTTATTCTCATGTAGAAGTGTGCTTAGGACGTTGTCTTAGCAAGGGGCAGTGGGTGATGCACACTAAGAGGAAACTGGCTTTTGCTCTGGTTTTTATTGATTTATTTTTTAATGGCGAGAGTGGCCAGAAAAATCAGACTAAATTCTTTTTGAGCAGCAGTCAACTAGATATCACTTGGATGTTCATAAGCAAGGCACAGTAGTTGTTTTCACATTCCATACCCTCCACAAGTATTTCTCCTTTGGGCTGTGTTAGTGAATTTTTAAATAATATCTGTAGGGATGATAGTTTGAGCAGAATTGTAAAATTCTTTAGTATTTATAGAATGGACATTATAGGACTCATTCTTGTTTTGTCATTAAAAATACATCTAAAAAATGTAACTCTTTTATTCTGTATAACAATTCTGTTTATTTCTAGGACAAAGATGAAACTGAAACTATTAAGCAAGTTCATGAATCTGCAATATTCAACAGAGAAATTCCAGCCAGTACAAGATCAGATCCTTCCGACCAGGAAGAAGAGAGTGAAAATCATCCAGTCTCCATAAGTAAGCAACTTTAATTGCTTTGATTATAGTTTCATGTAATGAAGCATCTACAAATGAAATTAAAATTTTATTTCAAGGTCACTAACTCTGTCTTCTGTTACTAGCTTGTTATGGATAAATCTGTTTACATTTTTATCCAATCCAGTTGTTAAATGCATCAGTCAGATTGTTACACTACCTGAATCTGAATTATGTTTAAGTTGAAATAAGATAGATGCCAGTCCAAACTAAAGTTATGATTCAGTAAGCTAAATCAATTCGGAAATGGAGCATTCCAGAGTTTTCCAAAGCATTCTGTTCCAAATTGTTGAGTTTGGCACATTCTTACAACTGAGTTGCATAGTGTAGAGAAAGTGGAGAGGTCTCTCTAAAGAGACTAGGATCAAGAGCTATTAAATAAAGCTGATAGGAAAACACTTCACAACGCATAAATAACGTGGAATTCATTGACACAAAAGTGATGATCACTGACTTAGGTGGATTTACCAGGGAATAAATAAATTCATGGAAGATAGAGCTATCAGGTTATCTCTGCCAGTGTTCTCTTTGGGCAGGGTCAGTAATGGAAGAATTGCATTTCCGGTCTCCTGTTTGTAAGCACTTCAGAGGCATCTGATGGCCACTATAAGAAACAAAATGCTGGATTAACATGGCCCTTGGGCCTGATTTAACACGGCTATTCGTACATTCTAAAGTTGATTACATGTATACAAAGAACTGTTCCCACAGCATTCTTTCACTCCTATGTCTCCAGTAGAAATGAAATACCGTCATAATCAATTTTAAGATCATACTGTAGTAACGATTCTGTTCTTTGCTGAACATATGTGGCTTCTTTGTATAATAAGCTTAGGCTTAGCCTACTCTCTACTTACCTGGGAGTATGCCCTATTGCACATGCTGGATAGTTAAATAAGCATAAAATTATGCTTAGATACCCATCTGTGATACACAGCTTTAGCTTTACTCAGTATTCAGTATCTAAAATATTTTCCATAATTACAGTTGTTATAATAATGCTGTCTTTTATAATTCAAATATTTTTAAAAGGCTAGAATCTAAAAAATCATATAGCCAGTTCTATGCTTCACAGTAGTTTTTGACTTTGTATTTCTTCAACCCAAGTCATTCCCATCTCCACTGTTAATGTTTCTTGGTAGTTTATTTTGAAAGAAAATTTAGGAGGTTCAGAATTTAAACTATACTGAATACAGACTGGGGGAAAGAGATAACCCATGGCTTTTAACATTTTTTGTCTGTATGTATGCATTTAACCATTGTGCTCTGTTTTACCTTTTAAAGTATATTTCACTCACTCTAGGCTTGTCTAAAGCAGAAACCCAGGCTCTAACTAATTATGGAAGTGGAGAAGATGAAAATGAAGATGAAGAAATAGATGAATTTGAAGAGGGACCTGTAGATGTTCAAACTTCCCTCCAGGCAAATAATGAAGCTATAGCTGAAAATGAAGAAGAACAGGTATTGAGAGAATGATTGTGTGGGCAGTGTCAGTGCTGGACAAGTCTTCATTCTTTGGAAAGATTTATTAACGTATTTGCTAAGAAGATCTAGAACTCTGCACTGGTGGCAAAACTCTGAAATTTAAATTTACTAATTAAGAATATGGTAGCTTTTCATATTGGAAGACTGGAAGTTTGATGGGCATTATTAATCAGTAACAATGTAATATATTAACACAAAGGATGTAAATGAATGAATATTCTTGCTTACTTAAACTAGTTGAAGTTGATACTGAATTTTATTCTGAAAGTTAAAAGATTTTACATATGTTTCAGAAAAGATTGGAGCTTTAATTAAGACTAAATAATTAATGTTTAAATGGGTCAAAATGGTAAATTAATTTATTTTGTCACAGATTTCACAGTCGAAATTAGAGAATCCAAATGTGTGTCAAATTGTATCTTCTGAACAAGAGTCTGTAAATACTAAAGGTAAAATGAATATAGAAAAACTTATTTCCAAGGCTTTTTTTTTTTTGTTCTTAGGGAAAAAAGTAGGGATGGAAGAGGAGGCATCTGAAACTTTTGTACTATTGGATGATTCTTGGTTTGCGCCGGGTGGGATTAATTCACAAGTGCTTTGATGATTAGAAAGATATATTCTGTATATTAACTACAGAAATGCACTCATGAAAAGCAGTTGCTTTTTCTTATATCAGTTATGCAGAGGAAGCTAAATAAAAGCTGATCTGATAGCTGCTACTCATTAGTTTTTATTTTATGAATACTTTATACTTATTAAACAGAACACAAAGGTTATTTACATTGCCTGGGAAAACCTTTGAAACAGTGTATCCTGCTTTTTCAAAGTTTAGCATTTCAGGTTTTTAGACTTGAAAATATAAGTAACATTAACAAGATCTACATTTATTTTGGCTGCTTTAAAACTAGTAAGAGGTAAAAAAATTCACTAAATAGTGGAAGGAGAGCAAGAGAAAGAGATGGACAAAACAGGTTGATTTTGGATTATTGTCCCATTGCTTGTGCTTAGAACACTTGGGATTAATAACTGCTTGGCCACAAATAGACAAACATCTGCTATGCTTCTATGTAAGTTGCTCAGATATTGTTGCTTATTTTCAGTCTATTATTTTATATCACATTTGTAGTGTAACTCTTGGTGCAGTCTGGATTCAGGATATAACTAATTGACATAATGACACAATGTGTTATTCTTTCATCCTTCAAGGCTGCAATCCTATACCAGCTTAACAAAGAATAAGTCTAACTGAAGTCAACGTATCTTATTTTTGAGTTACATATAGCAGAACAGTTTTAAATGATTTAACGTGATCGTTTACACAAATGATATGTATCTTTTTATTTAACCTTTTGAAATGTTTTCCATATTCCTTAACTGTTGTTTTTTGTGTAAGCTGCCATAAAATCCCAATCCTTGCAAGCAATATAATTAAATATTGTTTGTTTTTCAGATGATCAGAATAGACCTGCTATCGTGCCTCAGTATCTTAATCTTACAGAAGAAAAGCAGTCCTTAGCTGTTAGAGTTGCTGAAGATTTTAATGCCGGCACTATATTAGCCACAGAAAAAACAAACTCTTCACTAGGAGAAAATGAAAACCAAGCTATAGATGCAATTTGTGGAGACACAAAATCATCATCAGGAACACCTGAAAGCTCTGTAGTTGGCAGTCCTGATACAGAATCTCCTGTATTGGTTAATGAATATGTATGTAGTGGTTTGTCTTTTAAATATAATCCGATATGTGTGTCAAGAATGCATAGCTGGAGAATTGTGTACCTAGAATGCTTCTTTTAGATGTTGGTTCTATAGTTTAGTTTAGTTTAGTTTAGTTTAGTTTAGTTTAGTTTAGTTTAGTTACATTGGAAAGATTATTTTTGTCCACAACAAGAAGTGGTCAATAAATAATGATTTCAATGAACTTATAAAACTGGAAGAATGCTAGGAGCACCTCCTTGAGCTCTTGGAAGAAAGACAGGTTATAAATCTTACACATAAATAATAAATAGTTAAATTAAAAATATTCTCTTAATAGGAAACTGGTTCTGGAAATGTGAGTCAGAAATCTGATGAAGATGACTTCGTAAAACTTGAAGACATACCACTTAAACTTGCAGTCTACTCAGAGGTAAATGTTATGCTAAGAAATGTACAAAGCAAAAAGATTTGTTTTTAAGAGTATGGTGCAGAACAAGTGGACAAGACTAGTAAATTGTGAGAATTACTCTTTTGATCCATTTTCAGGAAGAACTAATGAAAAAAATGATGGCAGAGTCTCAGACAAATAGTATCAGTGAAGAAATTCTAGCTGAAGCAGAAAGGCAGGGTGAGGAACTGGTAGGAGATCCTCAAATGTTGAAGGAACCTGGTGAGAATCTTTGATTACTTTAGTTATGCCTATCCTACTCATGCTGATACAATTAGTTTACTTTATGCAGGTTGTAGACTGTAGAAAACTAGGAAAACTTGGATAAACATTTTTAGTTTTGCTCTGCTTTCAGACTTAAAACATTTTGGCTTATTAGCTGAAATAATAGATTTATATAGTAGTTTGGTGACCTTAGCTATCTTAAAACAGGGTGGGGGGTTGAACCTGTTAATACTTGAGTGGCAAATTATCAGGAAACCCCAGGGCTGTAGGCAAGACTGGGCAGGGGAAGAAACATCCCAGAAAAAGGCAACAGCAAACCATCCCTGAATCCTGGCCCAAGAAAACTATATAGTGAAGTGACCAGGAGTCAAGCTCAAGTCAGAGAACATTTACGTTTTATAATTTATCTTGCTATGGTTGTGAACCAGTTGACAGAGGTGGAATTTAATTGAGCAGCTGCTGTCTTTTTTAGAAATGTACAAAACTCATGGTCTGAGAGAACTCTGGAATGTTCCATTCCTGCTCTGGGCCTTCCTATTCCTGAGGTTTATTTGATAGTTTCCAAATTAGAAGCAGTTCAACACTGCAAAATCCAGTTTACTTCTGGAAATGTTTGGACCATCCCCAAACAGCATGTCTAGGAGGGGGGTCAGGATGATCAGGAGAGGGAATGGGACTTTCCAGAATTTCCAGAACATTCTGTTCTAAATGGATACATTTTGCACATTGATAGTCCATTTTGTTTTCTGTTATTATTGAATTTAATAAGCTGTTTTTGATAGCACTTAAAAGTGCTACCTATTCACTT